ATAAATTCTCAAAGATATTAGCAGGATATCTGTCCTAATACTGAGTACTGGTAGGCAGATATAGTATGATTAATAGTATGATCCTGGGCCATGGTCTTGATGCTAGTTAGGGCTCCCATTTGGCTGCTGTCCACCAAAAAGAGATGCTTGTGCTGTCCATCCATGTATCTCCCAGCATCTTGTCTATTCTGGTTTTCATTCACATGGGGAATTCAGTAGAGCATGAAAAGATTCTTACTATGCACTTAAACACTTAAACACATTAAACACATATCATCTCTTGTAGACCTTCTGTGTAACCTTATTTTTGACAGTATCTTTTTTCTCTCATTTTGTTCTTGCTTTCATTGTAGGCAGTCCACAAACACTTCCCTGCTTTATTTTGAAACAAGGCCTGCTCTTCTTTTTATTATTATTGTTGTTGTTTTGTTTATTCAGTGCATGCTTCAGTTCAGAGGAATGCCCATGCCTGGTTAATATTTTGTTGGCACTACTATCAATAAAGTAATGCATTAATAAATAACATTTGTAAGGACCTTGAGAAACTGTACACCAGAACTGCTTCTTGTAGTACAGGAGGGTGTTGTTGAAAAGTCTAAAAACACTCACGGTTCATTAGACAAAGATGAATAGCCTATTCCCTTTCTATTCTGCTTTTAAAAACTAGTGCTGCTGGATAGTCTGTACCTAAGAATAAAAGAGCTTCAATGGGCATTTAACTCACAGGAGCCTGAACTTTTCTTACAGTTTATGGATCCACCCCAAATCCAGTTTACCTCTTCTGTCATGGATCAGAAAGACACAGAATTTCACAGGGTTAGGGGTTCCCACAAGGAGATAAACAGTTGGGGAATGCCATGTCCTAATACATTGACAGTGTGGACTATGAAGCTCTGGGGCCAGAGGAATCATGTTTCATTGACTGAAAGCCTTTCTGTCAGTGGAGATTTACCGTGGGATACATGATTGCTAACTCTGGGTTGGAAAATTCCTGGAGATTTGGGGGTGGAACTTGGGGAGGGACCTTTGTAGTGTATAGTGCCAGAGTCCACCATCCAAAGCAGCCATTTCCCCCCAGGGAAACTGATTTCTCTAGCCTAGAGATCAATTGTAAGTTCTGCGCCCCAGGCCCCACCAGAAGGTTAGCAACCCTAATGGATCCAAGCCTGTATGAAATGTTGAAATAACTATGGAACTGAAATTACTCTCCCCCCCCCCCTTTTTTATGGCCCCGGAGGGGATTTTTTATTACATTTTTATTAACACTACAAACGACAACAGAAAATAGGAAAGGGGACTACAATTAGGGGATAAAGAAAGATACCCACTACTAACTAAAAACCCAAGAGAGGAGGTCCCCTCACCAATTTAAACAAACATTTAGTCTTAATCTCATTAAATCTTGCTATCAACTGGGTCAAATATCATTAACTTTCCCACGTTTAAGTTTAAAGTTTAACTGTCATACAGAAATACCCCAGAGCATCTCATTTCAACATTTTATAAAGGCACAATTCGGAGTCCTTCAGCCTTAACTTCTCCTTGCCTAATCTCTTCTGGATCTTATAAGGACTTTTAAGGGCTGCCACCCCTTTCTCTGAAAGAGAGTCCTCTCCGGAGGATTCCGAGTCCAGCTCTTCATCGGACTTACTGTCCATCCCTTTTTTCCCTTCCTCCCCTGGCTCACCCAACTGGACTCTTAAAAATTCCCATGCTTTCTGAACAGAGTCAATCTTTTCTTTTTTTGTCCTTGATTTTGAAGGTTACGTCTTCTGGAGTTAACCATCTATATCCAATTGCATTTGTCTGTAGAAAAAGAGTTAATTCTTTATATATATTTTTTCTCCTTTGTCTTATCTCAAATGGAATATCTTTCAATGTTCTGATGGTATTCTCCCCCATTTTCAGGGGTGCTCCAGATTGTATCCCTCACATGCCTCTTTGAGAATCTTATCACAATTTCCCCAGGCAGATTATTTTTCTTTATATATCCAGAATATGACCTATAGGCCATATCCATATTGTTTAACAGACATTGCGCCTTCATATCTGTGACTGGGGCCAATATTTCACTATTTGTAATTGTAGCAGTTGATCATATGTAGAAATTTGCTTCTTTTCCAGCTTTTGAACTTTCTTTTTCACCTTTTGTGCAGTGGCGTCCACTTCTTTCACCTTCACAGCTGTTTCATTCATCATTTTAAGAGTCTCGTTTATCTGTGTTTGCTGTGTGGTGATACACTGGGTCATTGTTGACATCTGCTCCTTGATGTTATTCATCTGGTCCAGTAGGGGGCGCATGGATTCTACCAAAGTCTTTGCCAGCTTGTTGGTTCCTTCGGGTTAAGGACCGTTAGTTTCGATTTCAGAAGTTTCTCTTTCTCCGTCCTCTTCCCCGCCATCTTTTTTGTTTGTTTACTTTAACAAGTATTTTAAAGTTCTCTGAATATGTGCCCAAATGCTCGAATTCGCCTTGGTGAGTATTTCTTAACAGTTTTGCACGCTTTCTCTTCTGCTCTCCCCCCCTCAATTCGCTCAACAGTTCATGCAGTTGAGAGGCATCCCTCCCCCGCCCGTCTCACTTTCCGTTTAACAGAATGGGGTAGGGAGCATTCTTTTCTCTTTAACCGCCATTTACATTAGACTCACATTCATAGTTGGTCCTCAGACCTCTTTTAATGATCATTTCTGCCGCTCGACCTCCTGCGTTTGCCCCGGTCAGCGTCACTTGTGTCCATTCGGCCTCATGGCACGAAGAACCTTCGGGACGGAGAGGTGCCTCAATTCCCTGGCATTGTGCCAGCGAAGAGGCGACCTCTCAAAAGTCCCCTGGCCAGGGCCCCTTCAGCCGGGTCCCTGGGGGGGTGACGAACCTGGGCACCCCCTCCTTCGGCCGGAGCACAGCTTCACCCCTTGGAGGTCTGGGACGTGAGTCTGCTAATGCACCATCAACCGGAATTTGTCCTTCCCCTTTTAATGCATAGTTATTACTTGTTAATTAAGTGGAGGGACTAATAATGAACATGAGATTAAGCTAACTCCGGAACACAACGGAAGACAGGAGGGCCTGGTGTGATATGGTCCATGGGGTTGCGAACAGTCAGACTCGACTGTGCAACTGAACAACAAATAATAATATCATCCCTACCATGACCTGAATGTTCAAATATGTATTTTTGTCTTATTTTTGCTTTACTGAAGTAGGATGGACTCAAGTAAAAAATCTTCAGAAATGCATTTGGTAAAGCTTTTGCTTTTGGAGAGATTTGCTTGCTCTCTGCAAGGAGACCCTTATATGCTGTACCTTTTAAGTATCCAAATCAATTTAATTAAATTTCATTATAAGCACTAGAGCTGAAACAAACTAATGAAGGGAAATTGTCCCTTTTTGGTTCTAAAAATTAGTTTAACATTAATAGCTTTTGACATTGTTCATAAAGGAGGTCTAAGGAATTTGTTACTGACTGGTTTACCCCTAAAATGAGAACAGGGTAGTTTTCTTAGACTGAAGGAAGGCCCCTGACAGATTTTTGAGGAAGAACCCTGGGAAATGTTGTAGGGGCCTGTCAGGCACACTCTCTCTCACACACACACATAAAAAGAAGGATGTGCAACTTGAAGCTTATACCCCAGTGGCTTTGGTCTGACAGATCATTATTGGCATCAAGTAGCACTTTTCCTCATTACCAAATGAAATTGCAGACTGACCCAAAGAGGGTTGTGTTATAAGATCTCAGCAAGAAGCAAGATGGCAGTACTGTGATAAAAAATCAAATTACAGTTGAAAGTTTGTTCCAGTTTCTTCTAAGCAACTTCTGAGATTAACAGTTGAGCAACTTCTGAGCAATTTCTGAGATTAACCTTTGGTAGTACTAAGAGTAGGTTTGTACAGCCATATTGTGGAATACCATAGCCAGAAAGTGAAGGCAGGACATTGAAATTCACTGTCTTCTCCAATAACATGTTGTCAGCCCATCTATGAAACCATACCCTCCCCCATGCTGAACACCTGCCAACCAATTGCAGTGGCTTTCCAAGATCCAATCAGAGCACAGCAGTTTTAGATCTAGCCAAATATGTCCACTTTTCCCTGAGGAATGCTATCTAAAATTAATACTTTCTTCATAAGAAATTAGTTCTTGGGAATTTGTTGGTATATAAATAAACCAAAGAACTTTTCCCATTTGCCAGTCACCCAGGAATGGGAAAAGAAGTGTCACTCAATATGTCATTCTTCCCACCCAGACAATAGTTGTAAGGCAATAGTTGTATGAGCAGTACTAGACAGACAGACAGGCAATAGTTGTATGAGGAGTACTAGACAGACAGACAGACAGGACTTAAAGGATGGTAACACTCCGGGCATTTTGTCATCTTCTTTTTACTGTGCTTAGATAGGAAGCATTTGGTGTATCCGATGTTAACTCATATTTTTATACATCTGTAAACGAACCTCTTTCCAGGAGAGGCAGGCCTTTTAATACATGTACAACTCACCTTCCATTGTGTGTAAGTTGGGTTAGAGGGTGCAGCATCAACCTTTGATCATCCACAGAAAGCTGATCAACCTATAATAAAGCACCCATAATAAAGATAAAAATATCCCAGTAGCAAGGGAGAACTGAAGAATGTGGGAGAGTAGCCCTGTTAATGAAAAACAGATGACTCTGTAAGAGACAACATTTTAAGCGCTTTATCCATAGCAATGAACTTGGAACATGTAAATATACTCCTGAAGTAGCATACGTGGTACACCTTAGGTTGTTCACTTTTTGGGGGGGGTCATTTTCGGAGAGCCAGTGTGGTGTAGGTGGCTCTCCGCTCCTCCACATGAAGCCTGCTGGGTGACCTTGGGCCAGTCACAGTTCTCTCAGAGCTCTCTCAGCCCCACCTACCTCACAAGGTGCCTGTTGCGGGGAGAGGGAGGGAAGGTGATTGTGAGCCATTATGATAGAGAAAGGGTATAACAACTAACTTCCTTGTGTGTGGGTGTCTTGCAGGATGGATGGTCACAATATCACTTTGTAGCCTCATCTTCAACAATAGAGAGGGATCGGCAGAGACCATACTCGTCATCACGCACACCCTCCATCTCTCCCGTGCGCATGTCTCCCAACAATCGTTCAGGTAAGTCTCATCCAATGGTTTTGATCCACACTGACTAGTATGTATTGAACTGATGGGCCCTAGAGGACTAAACCTGGAAGCCCCCTCTTTCAGTAGCCACTATACTTCTCCATTTGGTACTGGCACTAATCTCCGTAGTCCTTTCAGTAATTAACCATGACGACCACAAACACAGTAAGCACAGCAATCCCAATATGCACAATCACTACTTTTTCTCAAAGGGGCAGCACATGGATTTTCAGTCTCAGAACCCTGGGGGGTTTATTTATTTATTTATTTTTATATATATCCCACCCTCCCTGCATAGCAGGCTCAGGGCGGGTTCCATCATACCAACTAACAATGCAAATAACAGTTAAAACCAATTAAAATGCATCAGAGTTAAAATACAAATTGTACATTCCGGTACTTGAGCCTCAACAGATGTGGTCTACCTCAAATTGGGGTTCAGATCTGGATTACTGGGGGCGGAGGCCCAATAAAGTGTGGATGCCCACTGCCTCTGCTAAAAGCCTGGCGGAAGAGCTCCGTCTTTCAAGCCCTGCAGAACCATAAAGGGTCCTTCTGGGCCCTGATCTCATACGGGAGCTCATTCCACCAGGTAGATGAGGCAAGACGGACTTCCCTGGGGCCAGGGACCATCAGGAGATGCTGGTTTGCAGATTGTAGCGACCTATGGGGCTCATAAGGGGAGAGGCAGTCTCAAAGATATGCAAGACCCTAACCCATCTAAGGCCTTGAAACGGATCCGCTACTCAATAGGCAGCCAGTGCTGGTCACACATCACAGGGTGGATACACGTCCACACAGACGACAAAGTCAACGCCCATGCTGCTGTGTTCTGCTCCAGCTGCAGTTTCCAGAGCAGAGCCAAGGGCAGCACCACATAGAGAGATTTACAGTAATCCAGTCTGGAAGTGACCATTGCATGGGTCACTGTAGCCAGGTCCTGGGGCCAGCTGTCTTAGATGAAAAAAGGCAGACCTGGCAGTGGTGGTGACCTGGGCCTCCATAGTCAACAAGTCATCCAGGAGCACCCCCAGGCTCTTCACCTTTGATGCCAGTACCAGTGGGGAGCCCAATTCCTAGTCCCAATCCCCTGTAGCCCAGGTGCAGGACCTCCATCTTCGATGGATTCAGTTTCAGATGGCTCCATTGCAACCATCCGGCCATAGCTTGTAATGCCCTGTCCAGGTTTTTGGGGGAAGAGCCTGGGCAGCTGTCCATCAGTAGATAGAGCTGCCCATTCCTCCAGATAACCTGGGTGAGCAGCTGCATATAGGTATTAAACAACATTGGGAGATAATCGCTCCATGCGGCACACCACATTCCAGTGGGTGCACTGAGATATCCCCCCCCCAAGCTATGAATCACATGCTATGAATTGTTGTGTTCACATGGTCAACTCTTTTGAACAAAACTGCGTACTTGCTACTGGGAATGTAAACCCGGTATCTACCTGAAGACTACATTGTGTATGCAGATGGTCCTTGCTGCATCATTTAATTCCCAATTCCATTTAATGTTATCTGAGTTTGCAAATCTGAGCCTTTTGGGAATTACTAAGTTTTTTCAGAGTTGTTTGTGATTTCTTCCACTGCAGCCCATTGACTCTTGACATTTGTTTGGGAGAGGAGGGGCACAACAGACATAAAACAAAAACAAAAAAAGGCCCTTCAAGGTGTGAAAGACCTCTACCTGAGACCCTGGCAGTCTGAGTAAATAGTGCCATTCTTGATGGACAAATGGTCTGATGCCGTATAAGGCAGCTTCATGTGTATGTATGTGTATGTATGCATGGGGATAAAGTGGGAAGAGTCAGCAGAAATCACTTTCCCTTCTTTCAAAACGTCATTATCCTTTGGAAGGTGTGGTTGGATACAGGTATTTGTTTATTTACATGTTTATCCTACCGTTCCTCCAGGGAGCTCAGGTGGCACATGATGTGCTTCAGAACAACACTTTGAGGTAGGTTAGGTTGAGAGAGAATGGCACGCCCAATACCATGCACACTGAGCCTCACCATGAGCAGGACTTAACCTCCGCAGATGTAGCCTGACATTCTAACCACCCATTGAATGTCCTCTTGTTGCTTCAGCTCTGATACGTGTTCAAGCCATCTGTGAAAATGGTGATATTTAGTATGTGATTCTTCAGACAGCTGATGATAACAGCATTTCCTTCCCTCTCCTGTGTGTGTGTGTGTGTGTGTGTGTGCGCGTGTGTGTTCACCAGAGGCAGATCTTGTATACGCAGATTTGATGGGAGGTTTAAAACCTTGAACCTGTTCCTCTTTTGTAGCAAGTGCCCCAGCCTCACCTCGGGAAATGATTAGCTTAAAAGAAAGAAAAACAGACTACGAATCCACTGGAACAAATGCTACTTACCATGGAAATAAAGGAGAACACACTTCTAGGAAAGATACAATGACAGGTGAGACAACAATTGCATATCTCACACAAAACATGATTAACAGAACAAAAAACAACATGTGACAAGTTGTTCTTCATGTCTGTTGAATATACGCATTACAGGCTCTGAACATTGTAAAAAATCTTCATTTCCAATGTACATGTATTTTGTATTGTTTATCGTTATGGTGCCATTTGATCTGTCCCTGTCATGACCACAGAAATTCCTTCTAAATTCCTTTTACACTTTGCCATCCATTTTTTTCTGTATTTAATTAAAGCAGGTCTCTGTTGGCATTGCGAGCTATAAGATGCTGCGGGAGTAGGTAGGAAATTCCTGTTTCAGTCCCTAGGATGAAGTGTTTAAGTCAGTAATAAAACTTCATATAGGAATGATGTTTGCATCCTAATGGGTTTTGTCATGCATAGGGGAAAATGCTCTCAGAATACTTTTTTTCTGGACAGAAAGGTATAAACATGACTTGTACTAGCCACTTTGGTTTTGATATTCCTTCCCTGGATTTGCATCTTTAATTGGTGCTTTGCAACTAATGCTATTGCTCTTGGCATGAATACGAATAATCAGCCGACCGCACATCACAGGACTACTCCAACCACCTGGACTTTCTCTCCCCCCCCCCCCCCCTTCATCACAACTTTGTTTTATCCTTAAGCAGTCTAATTTTTCTCTCTTCTCAGTTGGCACACTTTACCTAATTAAGAGCTTTTCTTTCCTAAATGACGCTTTCAGAAGCAGCCGATTATTCAGCAGGTTGGTTTGTTTTGCCAAGTCACAGCCAATTTATGGCGACCCCTGGTGGGGTTTTCAAGGCAAGAGATTTCCAGAGGTGGTTTGCCATTGTCTGCCTGTTATTCCGCTGGTCTGCCATCCAAATACTACTACTGCTCCTGCTTAGCTGATGAGATCAGATGAGTTCAAGCTAGCTAGGGCTATCCAGGTCAGGGGTCATAGCAATGTTAGGGGACTGGACAGTTATGGCTAGGAAGTATCGGCTGCTTTCTGAAGTCATGTTGTGGTGGGCTGGGAAGGAGGGGGAGACAGGAGATGCCACAGAGAGCCCTGCATGAGGGAATGTCTTGCCTGTTTGGGATGCCTTCCTGTAGGGGGTACATTATCTCCTCACCCTTTCTCTTGCCGACAGACCATGCAAGACAGAGTGGGAGCAGATGTGGGGATTTCACTTGGGGGGAAATGGGATGGGGCATCCTCTTGACATGAGGAATCTAAAAGATCTTGGATGCTCTAGAGCAGGGGTGATTTTTTTTTACTTTCCATCTCTTTTCTCTTTTAGTTCTGCAACTTTCTTTCTTTGTTGTTGTCTTGTTATTATTTGTGATGGGAAATTTTTTCAACCCTGGTAGCTCCTTCTTCTTGTGCTTCTTCATCTGTTTCACTAGACACTTCTTCCTGCATCCCCATTTCTCTTCCATACCTTTCCAGAAAATTTTCTATTTTAAATATTGAATTAATCTTTTGTCTTTTACCTGCATATGTAAATAATACACCTTCTGCCATCAGCCATCTATATGTTATACCATTTGTTCTCAGGAGGTTCGTTAGTATTGTATAATCTTGACGCTTTGTTCTTACTCTTCAGGGTATGTCTTTTAAGATCTTAATTTCTGTCCCTAACCCTACACCAGAGCACAGTTTATAAACTTACATGTTTTGTAGGATTATGTAAGAGCTTCATCAACATAACATTTCGAAACAAGGGAATACAGCAGCAGGTTACAGATTAACTTTTGCCCACAAGGGGCTTCTGTTTAATAACATTGATTTTTTTTAAAATCTCACTTTTGATATCTTTTGTGTTCCAGTTAAATAGACAGGTATTATACAAACCAGAGCTAAGGAAACTTATCATTTGGTGTAAGGTCTGAACAGGAAATCCATGGAGTTCAATCAGCCAGCTGGCCAGGGGAATAGGTTTGTGCTAACTTTGGCTCGACATGACATTTGTTATGGCAAACCAGAATTTTAGTTATTTGTTTTGCTTCAGAGGTTGCTGCATCCACAGCTGGGAAAATTATAAAGACAGAAACTGAAAAATGTTTTTTAACCATCATTTGATTGTTTATTTTGAAAGTTGAAACCTCGCTTTAGTGCTATCCATAGCTTGGAGTGATGCCTAGAATGAGGATTAATTTTAGGACTGTACTAAATTCTTGTATACAAAATACTGCCCATTTAAGAAAGATGAGACAATGTTGGCCTTAACTTTATATTCAGATAAATTTTAGTTAGTGAATACATTGTGAGCTAACACAATGCTACTAGAGCTTTGTGCGACTGAACAACAACAACAAATTCTAGAGCCTTTTAGACAAGATGCAGTTTTCATCCCAAACACCAATAGGACTTGTTTTGTTGTATTTGGTTTATGGCACATTTTCAGTATGGTGCACAAAGCCAATCTATTACGTTGACTGACCCAGGTCTTCTTTTCTCTATTCTTTAGCTCAGAACACGGCAATTTCTACTTTGTATAGAAATTCTTATGGTGCACCTGCTGAAGATATCAAACACAACCAGGTAAGCAGTCACAGCACATTCACTGCTTTTCTAACTAGAACAGGAACTAAGTTCTATCTACACCAATGGGACTTCCTTACCTCCCACCTCCCCCCGCAGCTCAAAAAAAATGGTCCTCAAGATGCTGCTCCTAGGGGATAGGGGACTACCCCAAGAATGGCTCTGTTGTTCTTAAGGTGTCAATATTTTCTGATATTCACTATATCCAATATAGTAAGAATTTTTGGTTAATGTCCTAACACTCCTATATTAAAAAATGGGAGGATAATACTTTTTTGTGCTGTATCATTGTGATTTCACTGGGGAATGACTGTGACTCAATGGTAGAGCATCTGCTTGGCATGCAGAAGGTCCCAGATTCAATTCCTAACTATGCCAGTTTTAAAGAAATCTGGTGATATGAAAAAGATGCTAAAGAAGACCTCTTACATGATATCCCCAGAGAGCTGCTGCAAGTTAGTGGCCCAATTAACTGACAGACCAGTGAACTGACTCTCAGCTTCATGTGTCCATGTGGCATACTGAAGAGGGTCGAAGGACTTTGACTGCTCACGGGATGGAGGGCTGGGAGATGTGCCGCTGGTTTTTCATGATGGAAGCTGACAGGTAGGGAGGGGGCTGGTCTAGATAAGAGCTGCAGAACAGGGAGGGGTTCCGTGTGCTGTTTTCCTCAGTGAAGTCTCAAAGCTGTTATTTGCTGGGTGAGGGCGGGGCTCACAGAATGAAAATACATGCATGATTTGGAAGCACACTTCAGTGAAAATACTGGCCAGTATAGGCATGCCAATTGTCCCTTATTTATTTTATTTTACAAAATGCTTACTGAACATATCGTTTGAACAATTAAAACCAGAGCTAAAATAGAATAGAATCAGCAACTAAAACATTGGGATGGGAAAAAGAATCACTGAGGAACAGCAAACGAAGATGGCAGCGGAAGAGGACAGGAGAATTTCCTTGAAGGGAGAGATGCAGAGTTTTGGTGCCACTATCAAGAAGGCCTTCTTGCAGGTTACCTTCCCACCTAGTGTCGGAAAGGGGGGCACCTAGAACAGGGCCTCCAAAGTTAACTGCAGTGCAGTGGTCAGGTAGGTTCATAAGGAATTGACAGCCATCCAAGTATACATAAGGCTTTAGGGATGGGCACAAACCTCATCATGAACCTAATTTCATGACAAACATGGCCGGTTCATGGTTCACAGACTAGAGGTACGTGATCATCTCCATCCACAACCCTCCCACGACTCTCCACATCATTTCAGATGTTTCTGGGGTTTGTGGTGGGAAGCGGGGAGTGAGTGAGAGGGATTGCTAAAATGTTTGTTCAGCCTGAACATGCTGAAATGGATGCAAGCCATTTCAGCAATGCGTTTCGCTCCCCCTGTGGAATGTTCCCTTTAAATGGCTTTTTCAAGCAGGTGCTGCGTGAGTGAAGTCCAAGCAGCAAGTTCCCTTTAAATTGCATTTGATGGATCTTCCCCTCCCTTCCATTCTGCTGGCCTTGGGGAGCTGCTGCCAGTAGAAAGGAGGGAGGAAATATTTATTTATCTATTTGATTTTTACCCAACCCTCCCCGTAAAAGCAGGCTCAGGGCAGCTTAAAGGGTTAAGAACACATTTAAAAACATAGAACAGTTCTAAGACAATTGTAAAGTGCTAAGATCTCAGATCTTCCCCCAAACTTCATAAACAGAACCTCTATTTTCCCAGTTTGTGCCCATCCCTAGTCAGCACCAGCAACTTGAACTGCATAGTTTCCATCCCTCTGAATGTCTCAGTACATTTTTAATTTTAGACTTCTCAAAAATATCATTCTCAAAACAAAATTATTCCGTAGTACTTTTAGGGGTCTTTGGCAACAACAAAGCATTCACAAAGAGCCAATTTGTGCAATTTGGTTTGCTATCTAAATGAGGGAGGGAGGACAAATGTTTAGAGGTGCCACCAGTATAAAGAGGGAAACCACTTAACTCCAATTGTCATCAGAGGCCATTAGATATTCAGATGATCCCATAACTTTGGGATTCCCACCTGTTCAGTACCTCACTATTTACTGATGGTTTGTATTGTGTGCTTCTTTACCTGAAACTTGAATACACATTGGAGAACAACCTGGAAAATGGTAGAAAGCATTTTGACCACACCTTTTAATTCAGATTTTGGAACCTTGTTGAAACCTGTTATGATTCCAAAATGCTTTGGTCATATCTTTAGCCAACGCATCAGATACAGTAATAAATGTAAAGGGTTAGGGTTAGGGTTAGATAAAACAAAGCAGTGAAATTAATTCTGAAAATCTATAAGATGTTTTATATGGTTGCCAAGATTCCAGAAGTATCCTTATTTCCAGTCTCATAAACAGTGCTGATTATCGTATCTGTGCCCTTTGGTTCCCTGTGTTATAGTCTTATCTAGGGTCGCCAACTCTCAGATGGGAAATTCCTGGAGATTTGGGGGTAAAGCCTGGGGAGAGCTGGGTTAGGCAAGAGGAGGACCCTCAGTGGGGTATAATCAGAGGTCATTTCGGGGGGATCGCAGTTCCCCTGGGTGAGGTACGGGGGAGCACATGACGAAGACCCGCCCCCTGCTTACGGCCGCCCCGCTTCCGGCCCTCATTCAGCCAGGAGGAGGCAGGAGAAGAGGAAGGATAAGTTGCTTCCTCCCTGCCTCTCCCCACCCCTGCCTGCCTGGGGCCAGGGAGGGCCTTTGCGGGGCTTCCTTGCACTCCCGTCGGCCTTGCAGGTCCACCACCGGGCCGGGACCGTTGGGGGTGGGGTGTGTGGCCTTATGACACACTTCCGGTGATGTCAGGGGGTGTGGCATTTGCTAATGAGTTATGCTAATGTGTTCCCCTAGCTCTTTTTCTATGAAACGACTCCTGGGTATAATGCCATCTCCAAAGTAGCCATTTCCTCCAGGGGAACGGCTCCTCCATAGTCTGGAGATCAGTTGCAATTCCAGGCAACCTCAAAGTGGGGACCTGGAATTTGGCAAACCTAGTCTTACCTAAGAAGCTGAGGCTCTTCTTCTGTTGGGCAGGTTTCAGCACAGCCAGTTCCACAGGAACCCAGTAGGAAGGACTATGAAGCATATCAGCCGTTTCAGAATTCAACAAGAAGCTATGATGAGTCCTTCTTTGAAGATCAAGTGCATCACCGTCCACCTCCAAGCGAGTACAATATGCATCTGGGACTTAAGTCTACTGGCAACTACGTCGACTTCTATTCAGCCGCACGACCCTACAGTGAGCTCAATTATGAAACAAGCCACTATCCAGCATCTCCAGATTCCTGGGTTTGAAACCTAGGCAAGATTTAAACAGACAAACAGACAAAGAAGAGGCTCCGGGGATTGTGCATGTGCATGCAAACCACAAGACATTCTTTTCCTGCAAATTTAGTTTGTTCAAAAGCCTGTTCCGTAGGAAGGCCCAGATAACCTGTCTGGGAAAGTTTAACGATACTGTTGACAGCTAAAAGGAATTGGAAGCTAAGCGTGTGGGGTTGGGGGTTGGGGGGAGGTTATTATCAAAAGGGGTCTATTTCTGTATCTATATAGTCCTGTCTCTCTATATATAGATATAGAAATATATTGGGGGGGGCAGCTTTACCGTTGACCTTGTATGTAGAGTTCAAGAACAAATAGTGCTGTGCATTGAATGTGGCCGAAGGGAGTAGGAGAGAAGGGGAAGATAGCAGAAGGGGGTCCAGAGTTAAGCACAAGAAAACAAGGCAGTTTATGCACCTTGGGGGAGGGGGGGACAGCTTCTCACACTTTGTTTACTCTCCTCATCCATTGTGAATTTAGGCTTCCAGTTGCATTTGGGGTTTCCTCTGTACAGCAAAATGTTTCTTGCCTTTTGTTAATGCATTGTTGTAAAGTATTTGATGTACATTACAGATTTAAAAAGAAAAAGCAAGAGAGAAGTGCATTGTGTATATTACACCAATGCCACAGTATTTCTTCATCTATGGTTCTAAATACTGCTTCAATTTCCAGACTTTGAAATATATATGAATTTCCAGAGGGGATGGGAAGGGTTTTTTTTCTGTTTAATTTCTTTTCCCCAGTGCGTTCTAACAAAAGAAAAAACCTGACTATTTAGCAGTATTGTTTGTTCTGATATGTGAATTCGTTTGTGGCAACTAAAAAAAAAAGACATTCAGCAGTTTCTGACAATTAACATTCATCATTCCACACTCCTTGTCAACGAAGTGCTTTTTCACTGCCTAAAATTTTAGCTGTAGATATTTGAAATAGATTTTTTTCATTTATACCAGTTTTCTTTATGATGATACAGTGTTAAATGAAAATAAATTACAATTGATCTGTCATCTACATTTGCTAAGAATGTCTATTTCCAAGAACTGACCCCCTTTGCCTGCATATGGGTATGAATCCCGAATATTCTAATTTTTTTGTATGTGTGGCTGCACTCTGTGTCAGTGCCACTGTCAGGACCCACAGCCAAACAACGGAGCACACACTCCCAAGAAAGCTTTTGCTTTATTGTCAGTACTATGGTTGCAATAACATGGTCACTGTTAGGAATGACGAGCATGGAGCAAGCATATAGTGATATAGAAGAGTCAAGAGGTCCCACACACACACTCCTGTGGGCCAATCGGCCTGTTTCCCGCGGGCGGGAAAGAGGAACCGATGACCCAACCGATCCAAGGCTGAGAAACTAAACTAGTCTCACGGTTAATTAAAGTGGAGACACTACAAGGTCGCAGATAACAGGGAGAGAAGCGAGAGGGAAGGAATGTGGCACCAACTTGTATACAGGTCAGGCAGGCGAACTCTAGGCTAATAAACAATATGGCAGCATAGCTGACATTCTGCCCACCTAAAGAACAATCTCTCGGCTAGCCCAGCAGCGTAGCTGACATTCTGTCCATCTAAAGATCAATCTCCTGGCTAGCCTAGGAGATCTCCCAGTTTTCCCAGAAACTCCCGGTGAAACTCCCGCAAAAGCTGAGGGGCCTGAATATCCCCTATTTCCACCCATTCACAGTGCTGGGGTCCAAAGTCCACCCATTCAATCAAATAATACAGTTTGCCACGTTTACGTCTAGAGTCCAGGATTTTAGACACTTTGAAATGTTCTTCACCCTCCACCATGAGAGGGGGGGCACTGGCTTTGTAGGGCGCCAGGGACTCGGACGTGGGTCCTGTTTCAGGAGGCTGAAATGAAACACAGAATGGATATTCCACATGCTTTTCGGAAGTTCTAGATCCACAGTAACATTAGATTACTTTTGACCTTAAACAGGCCAATGAACTTCCAGCCCAGTTTGTGGCTGGGTCTCAAAACCTTAATGTTCTTAGTAGACACGTAAACAGAGTCACCAGGCTACAGAGCCCAACCCTCCACTCTTCTCTTATCCGCCTGAGCCTTGTAAGCCTCCTTCCCCGCCTCTAAGGTTTTGCACCACGGCCATGAGTCCCTAAGTTGCTGACACCATTGTACAGGGTCCCCCGGGCCCAAGGCATCTCTCTTGAGGAACAGCATAGGGGGGCTGTTGTAGTCATATAGTGCCTTGAAAGGGGACATTCCCGTAGAGGATTGAGTCGTGTTGTTGTAACAAAATTCAGCCAACGGAAGCAAGTCTGCCCAATCATCTTGCTGGTAGTTGGTGAAACAACGTAAATATTGTTCCAAAGTTTGATTCACACGCTCAGTCTGCCCATCAGTTTCTGGGTGATAAGCGCTACTCATGGCCCATTCTACCCCCATGAGTTTCAAAAGCTCCCCATAAAACTTGGAAGCGAATTCTGTCCCCCTGTCAGAGATAATTTTGCTTGGGAGCGTGTGAAGGCAAACCACATGTTGCAAAAACACCTTCACCAAAACCTTTGTGGTGGGCAAGGAGCAAAAGGGACGAAGTGAGCCTGTTTAGAAAACAGGTCAACAATCACCCAGATGACAGTCATGGATTTTTTCCCAAAAAACTTTTATTTTGGATTAACAAGTTCAACATTTAACAATCGACCGTCAGATCCATTTCTTTTAACTCTTCCTCCCCCCCCCCCGTTGTTGGCTTCCCGCAATGCTTCTCCCTGTTGACCCATACTTTTACATTTCAAGGTAACACTTTTTACTTACAGTTCTAACCTAATAATTGTCTAAACACAAAATATTATTTTTAATATCCCAATTTCTTTCTAAATAATCCTTAAAGTCCATCCATTCTTCAAAAAAGTCTTTGTCTTCTCTATTATTTAACTTCTGGGTTATTTTGTCCATTTCTGCCATAAATAGGACTTTCTGTATCCATTCCCATTTATCTGGGATTTTCTCCTGTTTCCAGTATTGTGCATATGTCATTCTTGCCGTAGTGATTAAATACCATAGCAAAGTCTTTTTTTGTAGATTTACTTCTTCCATCTTTAAACCTAGAAGTAGTATTTCCGGTTCTTTCTTAAAATTACATTTCAAGATTTTTTGCATTTCTTCATGTATTTCTGTCCAAAAAGTCACAGCATCGCATGTCCACCACATATGATAAAAGGAGCCTTCTTTTTTTCTTACATTTCCAACATTTACTAGACATATTTTCATTCATATATGCTATTTTCTTTGGAGTCATGTACCACCTATACATCATTTTATAACAATTTTCTTTTATATTAGTACATGTTGATATTTTAATAGAATTTTTCCATAAATATTCCCAAAATGACATAGTCACCTCCTTATTCATATTTACTGCCCATTTAAGCATTTGCTCCTTAACTAATTCATCCTCTTTAAACCATTTTAATAAAACTTTATACAGGTTTGATATCATTTTTTCCCCTTTTGCCTCCCACACTACCTCAATCTTGTTGTTTTCCTCTCTAAAACCAAATCTTTTTTTATCTGTTCTAAACAAGTCTACAATCTGTGCATATTTTAACCAATCATATTCAAAGTCTAGCTCTTCTCTTTTTCTCATCACAGTATTTTCAAAATGTCTCTATATGGCAACCAATCTTCACCTTTATATCTCGAATACAGTGTAATTACCTCTGCCGGTACAATCCAAAGTGGTCTCGTCTCATAAAAAAATCTTCTATATCTCAACCAAGTCTTATATAGTGATCTTCTTATAAAATGATGGTTAAAAAAATTATCCGCTTTTGTCTTTTCATACCAGAGATAGGCATGCCAACCAAATCTACAATCATGTCCTTCCAACGCTAATAACTTTTTATTGTCCAAGTTTATCCACTGCTCTATCCAGGTAAAGCAAATTGCTTCATAGTAAAGTCTCAAGTTTGGTAATTGAAATCCTCCTCTTTCTTTGGCATCACAAGGAATTTTCATTTTGATCCTTGGTTTTCTTCCCGCCCAAACAAACTTTGAAATCTCTTTTTGCCACTGATTTAGCACTTTTATTTCTTTCAATATCGGAATGGTCTGAAATAAAAACATTAAACGGGGTAGAACATTCATCTTTACCACCGATATTCTTCCCAACAGTGACAGATTCAAAGTGTCCCATTTTTTCAAGTCTTGTTTGACTTTTAACCAAAGTTTCTCGTAATTATTCTTATAAAGATCTATATTTTTCATTTCAATTCCCAAATACTTCACCTTCTTGACTACTTCAGATTGTGTCTGTTCTTGGAGTTCATTTTGTTCCCGTTTTGTCATATTTTTGCATACCAACTTTGTCTTGGTCTTATTAACATAAAATCCTGCCAAATCTCCGAAGTCTGTTATTCTTTGAATAAGAAGCGGTAAGTTGTCTCTTGGATTTTCTATTAAAAACATCACATCATCTGCAAATGCTCTATATTTGTACGAATAGCCTTTAATGTTCATGCCCTTGATATCGTTGTCTTCTCTTATCTTCCCCAACAATACTTCTAAAACCCATATGAACAACAATGGGGATAGTGGGCAACCCTGCCTTGTTCCCTTTTGTACTTTAAAGTATGAAGTAAGGTCCTTATTTACATTCAATGCCGCTTTCTGATCCGAATATATTGCCTTGATAGTATTTACAAAAGGTAGGCCTATGTCCATTTTCTCTAGCATTTGAAACATAAAGTCCCAGTTTAAGTTGTCAAAGGCTTTTTCTACATCTACAAATAAAAAGGCCACTTCTTTTTCAGGATGCTTGTCATAATATTCTACAGCGTCGATTACCATTCTTAGATTGTCTCTGATTTGTCTATTTGGTAAGAAACCAGCTTTTTCTTCTGGAACTGCTTCTGCTAAATATTTCTTTACTCTCTCGGAGATTATTTTAGCAAATAACTTGTAGTCATTATTCAGGAGCGAGATCAGCCTGTAATTCTTCATGTTTGTTAAATCTTGACCTTCTTTTGGTATTAGTGATATATTGGCTT